GGTGCTCGCCGGTCCCGACCGCGCCGTCCTCACCAGGCTGCCCGGTTTTCCTGTGGTGTTTTTCTTGGGCAGGACTTTGCTGGGGGTACTTGACACGTGTGATGTTTTTCCCCACAGGTTCTAGAGATGCATCTCCCAGTGCTGACAGACCTGAAACCTTGCAGTTACAGACTGAAACCTGCTCTGACCTTGACACAGAGAAAACCTCTGTCACATTCACACAGGTCCCCGCGCTCTCCAGCGAGGTGGTCACCCAGCAGGACAGCTCACAGGCAGGCCGCATCCAGCCTCGCCAGGAAGAACGGGGCTGGGGAATCGTTAGGCCTGCCCATGAGGAGAAGAAACCCCAAACCTCCAGAAGCTTGATGAGGCTGAGGAGACGGACCAAGGCTCTGGTGTCAAAGGAAAGGGAATCAGAGCGCGATGTGCAGCTCATCGATGCTGATGGAACGGTGAAAAATCAAACTGCTGGTGCAGAGGAGCTTCACTCACCTGTCTTCAGGCGAAGCAGTCTCTCAAACGCTGAGGAACGTGCTCAGAGAGCATCCAGACCGGCACTTGTGTGGGGAGAAGAAAGCAGTTTCACTCCTCCCGACGCAGCGGCAGGAGTTGTTCCAGACAGGCTCCAAGACTGTGTCCCCCCAGGGGAGCCCGAGCTGCTCCCGTGTGTGCTGAGGGGCAGCAGCGGTGTCTGGCAGCCCGAGTCCCCACCTGCTCCGGCTGCATCTGATGCCCGTGAGCCCACATGGCCGTGTGCAGAGAGTGGTGACTCTGTTTCACTGGACTCCAGTGGTGATGGAGGGAAAGAATCCTCCAGTATAATAAACCAAACAGAGGGTGAGAGTGTGTGTGAAGATCAGGGAGAATTACGCAGGCTCTTGGATTTGATGTCAGAAAATGAAGTATTGCCTGATGATGGAAATGACACTGTAACTAGTGAGAGCAAGAGCCATGAAGGAAATCAAAGTGACGCTAACAGGCTAGATCCCTTCCCTGCAGATCTTGCTCTGGGCAGTGTTGAAGAACTGTTGGAGAACCAACAGCCTGAAATTCAGTCAAGACTTTCTCATCCAGAAGAGGTGACAGCTCCTGAAGGCTCACTCAGCTCTTGCACGGTGGTGGAAGGGCTTCTCTTTCCAGTTGAATACTACGTCAGGACAACTCGACGCATGTCTAATCGCCAGAGGAAAGTAGACCTGGATGCCGTAATCCTCAGCCAGCTGGGCAGGAGCAGGAGAGGCCAGCGGAGTAAGTGCAAGCAGAAAGATGCAAGCTCAGATCAGCCCTCCCAAGAAAGAGCTGAAAATGATTTGGAGTCGGGGATCACGCCGTTGCCTTTTGGTGCAGAAAATGATCCAGCAAATCCAAGCAGTCCTCAGAAGTCTCCCCCTGCGTCCAGCGGCAGCAGCACATCACTGGGGTCGGTTTCTCACACCAGTGCCACTGGCACAAGGCGGGATCAGAGACGATCGCGGAGGAAACAACAGGGAAGGAGAAAGTCGACCCGCAAAGCCCCCGTGTGTCAGGTGTCACAGGAACTGATGGAGAGTCTGGATCTCCTGACAGCGGGGCAGAGCCCTCGTCTGCTCTCCAATGAGTGTCAGACTGAGAAGGGAAACTGCGAGGCCAATGTCGGAAAGTCATCTCCAGATGAGAGGGGGTTGTCTGCTGCTGCAGCTCGTGGGTCTGGAGAGACAGAAGCGGCCGGTGCGGTACGGCCAGCGGGGGCTGATCCTCCTCCTGGAGGAAGCCGAGAGCTTGGCAGATGCCCCGAGACTCTGGTGGAGCAGGTTCAGAGGCCACTTCAGAGCAGCGATTCTCTGAACCCGGGGAATGACTCTTTTGCTGGCCATACAGGAGATCTGGAAGCCAACCTGCTGGTGTGCCAGGCGGATCAGAGTCCCGTGGAGCACGTTAGGAATGAACACGCACGAGGAGCCTGCAGGGCCGAGCAGCTCCTCGCGATGAACGTCCCTCGGCGCCGCTCCCTGCGCTGCTCTGCGGGACACAGAGCCAGTCAAGGTACCACAGACACCCCCCCCAAACCTGCAGCCCCAGAGCACAGCAGGGAAACGTCCCCACGAGTGTGTGCGCTGCTGGTCCTGCCCCGCTGTGTTTTGTTATTCAGGAACATCTGATGGGTTAACTCTTATTTATTTTTTTAAGTAAAATTGCTTTTTAAAAAGTGCAGATCATTGTGGTGCCCGTGTTCCCTGAACAACTGTAGAAACTTCTGCTTCAGCCCAGGGATGGGGAGTGAACAGCAGCGGGTGGATGAGGAGCAGGGCTGAGAACGTGTTAAGCTGCCTTTGCTGTTGGGGTGAATGGTGTGTGTGCTGGACCTGATTTTGCAGCAAATGGATGTGAATCTGTTTCTCCCACTAAGTCTACATATTAGTGATATCTTCTTTTTAGTGCTGGCAAGTGTGAAACACAGAGAGTAGCACTACAGTCTGAGAATATTGTGAGAAGATAAAATGTTGGGAGAAAACCAAACATAACAAACTGGCCAAGCGTTTGGTCAGTTCTGTCGGGCTTTGGCGATGATCCTTCAGCCGAGGGCTCGATGCAGAGCAGTTGTGGAGCATTAACTCTTTCCAGAAAAGTGCCAGTTCCATGTGTTAAGAGCAATATGGCTTTTGTTTGTTTGTTTTGCAAAATAAATTAGAGTGCCACCCTGGATGAGAGATTCTGAAAAGGCAAGTTGCTTTTTATTTGATGATGTGATGTTCTCTCTTGTATTCCTGTGTTTTCCTTGTCTAGATGTGAGCGAAAGAGAAGGCAGCTGTCCCGTGGGCTCAGAGGCTCCTGCTCTCGGCCTCCCTGCTGTGGACCCCGATACTCGCAGCTCTCTCTTCTCCTTCCACAGTCTGCAGTGGCTGGCCTCCAGACTGGGTGTCAGAGAGTTTCACTTACCAGAGGAGGAATTTGGGCTACTGAAACTTGAGAAATTAGAATCTTCCCCTGTGAATGACTTGGAGGTTTTTGTTCCTAGTGTGTTTGGAGATGCTGCGGCTTCAGAGGACACACAAGATGCACAAATGAATCCGGAAGAAGAAAGTCTCAAAAATAATTTGATTTCACCTTTCAGAAATGGGTTGCCCAAGTTACCCCAGGTGGGAAGCCCAGCTTCCCAGAGGGAACTTTCCACCCACGAATTGCTGTTTACTCCCGTGGGGACTGTCTTGCCCGGTGCTCCCACTCAGCCCGAGTCTCAGATTTCCTCACCTCTTTTCCCTGTGGTGGGTGCAACCCCAGCTGTTTTACCATCAGGACGCAGTGAGGTCTTGCCCCACACACCTCCTGTGCCTCCCTCACAAGCGAGCCCACGTTCCTCCAAAGGAGCATCTGCCCAGGATGGTGGGGAATGCAGAGTCTCTGCCGCTCCCCCGCGCTCGGACAGCTGTGGCGCAGGGTCTGCTGGAAAAGAGGAGGAACGAGGTACCACGATTCCTTTAGAAGCTGAAAGAGGTCCTGATAATAAATCTGATGAGGCTGTGGCCTTGGAGAACCATCAGCAGTCAGAGAGCAAACAGCAGAGATCCTGCAGAGCTTCTCCTGAGCAGGTAACGAGCTGGCCCCTCTGCCCGGGTGCTAAGCCAGAGGTTTTGTGGGCAAATCCCCTTTTCCAGAGTCTTGTCTGATTTCAGTCAGGGGAAGGACCTCTTTGCATGCTGGCCCTGGATGCTGTCTTTTATCTAAGACTTCGTAAATGTTTGGTTTTCATCTCTTGCCTCAGGTCTTTTAACCTCAAGAGCAAATTCTTTAAAATCCTGCTTAATAAAACTGCAGATGTGGGTCTCGATGCTTATTGCAGGACGCGGGTTTGAAACGTGTCTTTGAACAAAAAGTTTCTGCCACTGCCATAGTGCTGGTCTGTCTTAAGGGAAACTTTCAGCTAGGATTTGGTCAAGGAGATTAAATGACTCGCATGCAGGTTGGGTCCTGAGAGAAAGACTTGTCTCTGAAGGCTGAGAGATGCAAACTGGAGGTAAAAGACAATTTTCAAGCGAAACCAGGAAATGACCTGTCTGGGATCTCTTGTTTTTCAAAGACATGGAAGTTTGAAAAGAGGTTCTCCTACCATAGCTCTCCAACAACTGCATGCAGAGTGAATTCACACTTCTGCCTCATTCTTGCAGGTGCTGAAGGTAATTTCAAAATTGAATTATCCTCATTCTTTACTTGTTTGTGCAGAAAAAAGACGTAGCAGAACAGCTGACTCCGGTACTGCTCGATGGGCTGAGAGAAGAGAGCTTGCAGCTCGTGTCAAAGCTGAAGGTGGGATAACGCTGGGTGATTGTGTACTCAGTCAGTAGCAGCTCTTCAATACTGAGTTTAACCAAACTGTAATAAAAAATGCAGAACAACTGGTTGAACAAAATAGATTGCTGTCCAATTTGATCAGTTCTGTCTTCACTTGACTGCAGGTAGGTGGCACTTGGGCTTTGTTGTGGCTGTGCCATCGTACCCTCAGTCCTGTCCCAGCTCTGGGCTCTGTTGGGTCTCTGTCATTTCAAAGGACAAGTGATTTTTGTGATAAGAGACAATATATTTGCTGCTTGGAGGGTGAAACCCACCCGGCTTGTTTTCCTTGGTACCTTACAGACACTTGACTCAAAATAAAACATCATGAGCTTAAAGTTTTAGCCTCAAATTCTCATCACTGAATGTCAGGCCTTTTCCCTGGGCTGAACCTCCAGGTTAGATAACCGTGTCTGTCAGAAGAAAACCAGCACTGTTTTGTTTTGGACAGGATTGTGCAAGTTCCTGCGCTGTGGATGTCAGTACCATGTGGTGGGAAGCAGCTGGCAGCAGAGAGCTGTGTGTGGTGACAGCTTGTGAGAGTTCTGTCTCCCTGTGGAAACCTCTGACATCCGACCGCTGGGGAAAGCTCTATACCTGGCAGCTCGGAGAGGTGTGAACACAATCCTTATTTCTAGAATTTAGGGCAACTTTCTTGTCCCAGTGTGTTAGTTCCCGAGATACAAGGAGCTTGCAGTCTTGGGTGCAAGGTTAGTTCTTTAGGTGGCATAAATTTTTCATGCCATCAGGCAACAGAGGAGAATGATTTGTGCTGCTGATGGAGAAGGCCAGTGGCTTGTACTTAGGCCAGGGGCTTGTACGGCTGCATGTTACCTGCTGGAATTTGGTGCTCCATGTACTGCATGGCGGCTGCAGCCACTGACTTATGCTCCTTCCCCTTATGCTCTCTGGAGACACTTTCTGTCTCATACATCAACAGGGATTGTTAATCTAAGTGTGCTTCTTCAGATGGGTCTGAAAATTAGCTCTGCTCTGTATCATTTTACTTGAAACACTTTAGAAAACGGTTGTAAAGTCAAAGGGACGTTGTGGGTGACGCTGAATTCTTGTTTTGCTGTCCTAGATTCCTGTAATACAGATTGTTCCTCTGCCAGACACCTGTAATCTCGTGTGCATAGCACTGGGAGATTTGGAGATTGGAGAAATAAGGTGGTGGATTTATTTTTTACTAGCGCTTTGCACCCTGAATAGCTGCAGCTTAACTCTCCTCTTGTGTAGTGGTTGAAATTATCTCTTATTAATGTGTCAGCTTATCAGTTGCTCTAACAGTCGGAAAATATTGAAGGTATTTCTAAAATTTAACTATAAAGACTTGCTCATTCGCCCCTAGAGGTGGTAGACTTTAAACTTACGCTTATTTTTGTATGCTATGGCATGTTTGAATTATGCTGCCTTCTGCCATTACACGTACTTTTCTCTTAATTTAGGCTCTTGCTTTATTCTGAGAGTGACTCATTCAAGCAGTCACTGGTGAAAACTGGAAATATAAAAGCTGTTCTTGGGCTGAAGGAGAGGAGGCTGGTCAGCAGCAGCAGGACCATGCAAGAGCAGCAAGTGGAGGTGGTGTCGCTTGCAGAGACAGGAAGGTGAGTCTGCTGGTTTTGGGGTGGTCTCAGTGTGGCAGGTGGAAGAAAAGTGAAGAGACATCTCGGATGTAGAGAAGTGTCAGGCTCCTCTTTCTGGAGGTGTGCCGAGCACAGAACACGTTCTTCATCTTTCCTCTGCCTTTTCTCACTTGCTAATCTGCTGTTCAGGAGCAAGGACAGACAGACTTTGATGCCCCCTGAAGAAACCGTTTTAGCTTTTGCTGAAGTAGAGGGAATGAGAGACGCCCTGGTTGGCACCACTGCGGTGAACAGCATCGTTGTCTGGTCAGTGTTTGCTCTGCAGTGGGATGACTGAGCCTGTGGGTGTACGTGGGGCTCAGACCTTGTATGGGGGTGTCTGTATTTGCCTGTGCAGTGACTGTCAGAGGGCTGGCAGTCTGGCACTTCAGTGTCTGTGGATAGTGAATGAACTCTGCTGCTGTAATCCCACCTGCCTTTGCATCGTGTTCGTCACATCTCTTCCTCTGGCCTTTTGTCCTAGTTTGGTTTGTGTTAAATCAAAAATGTGTCTGTCTTGCATAGCAGTGTGACTATGATCAGAAAATAACAGACAGAGAATGGAAATGCAGTGAGACTTTGTACGTTCCCTGACTGCAGGAATTTGAGGACAGGCCAGCTGCTGAGGAAGATGCACGTTGGTTATTCCTACCCAGCTTCCATCTGCCACCGGGCGTATTCCGACTCCGTACGTGTGTGAAGTACAGCGCGCGGCCTCGTGCTGGGGATTCACGTCAGGGTTTGTAAAGTGGATTGAAATATCAGCTCTGTTTAGATACACTGAAGATATTTCAAAGGAAAATAGGTTAACTAGGAGAAATAAGCCACTCTGGCTACCTTGGATTCTTGGCTTTCTGCAGCCTAATGCATCTAATGAAGTGAGTGATGCCTCGTGGTGTATTCCAAAGCAGCAGCACCTTGGGTGTGGGGAGCAGAAGTGCTGCTGCCCAGTGCTGGTGCTTGGGAAGTCTCTTCCATTTCAGCAGCGGGTCTCTGCCAGCGTGGTGGCTGCACACTGACATTGTGGGAATTCACATGGGGCCCAGAAATTGTACTTTAAATGTCAGCTCATCCTACAGCAAGTTTAGCTTTTTCAGGCAGAAGGATAAGTGCATAAATCCATTGGGTCACTGAGCTGTCACTCTGCTGTATCGCATCAGCCCTTATCAGTCAGCAGCTGCTTTGGGTTTTATCTAATTTGATAAGGAAAATAAACCATTTCTGTTTTCTTCAGTAAAAATAATACATCACTGTCCATGGGGCTTTGATTACAGTGAGAACGTAGCCATTCGTTTTTGGAAAATTCTTTGGGTTTTTCCCCTCTTGCTGTTGTTTTTAGTGATGTATTTTTCCTCTGTGTATCAGGGCCTTCTGTTTGTTGTTTTAAGTCATCCACATGCCAAAGAGAGCGAGTCCTGTGGAAACCCCGCGTTCCGCGTGATAGCCTTCAACCCCCGAACAGCCCGGAGCACCGGAGTGATGGTCTCCTGCCCCCCGCCCGGGCACTCCGGAAGGCAAGTACCGTGGGACTGGGCCTGTGGCCGCCTGGCTCCTCCCAGGTGCTTTTGGGGGAGAACCGCGGCAGGAGCCGGTAGCGCCGCTTGGCAGGACCCACCTCCCGTCTTGCCGGTGATGAGCGGGGGCTGCCCCGCGGCTGCCGGGGCTGGAATGGGTGAGGGTGTGGGCAGCTTCCTGCCCCCTTCCTGCGCCAGGCTGTGCGCTGACCTCTGCGCTCCCAGCGAGGGGCTCTGCTGGCAAACGGGACGTTGAGCTGTCGCTTTGGTCTTCCTCCCCCCAGAAATGCTCTCCCTGGGCTCACTGGGGACCCTCCCCAGGCAAACCCCCCCCAGAACGTGGCTGCAAACGAGGCGCCCGAGCCTTTGTGCTGTCAAAGAGCTCTCTGCCAGGTTTATTTGTGCTGGGCAGCTCTTTGCAGCCAGAGGGCCTTTTCCTTCCTGTGTCTTGTGTTTTGAAGACTGAGCTGTTTGAGGCGCAGTCTTGCCCTGTGCTTACCTCCATCCTGGTGCTTCCTTTGTGCACGGGCGTTAGCAGATCGAGATCTCGCCTTGCTGAGCAGTTTCCCAGTATGTACTGGGGCTGCAGGAGGATTGTCTGACATCCTTTGTTCTCAGCTGTGCTGAAGATACAACCCCTAACATAACCTGGCTTCCTGCAGTTGGCTTAAATGTGCTTATTAATTGTCTGTTAAAAACTAGCTGGTTTTAAAAAATGATGTGATGGTGTTTTGATGAACAAACGGCAGCGTTGTGACCCTTCTGTGTGTGACTTCAGGTACCTGGAGGGTGACGTGAAGGATGCTTCTGCTGCAGCCGTGCTGACATCGGGA